TGGTCACCTCGCAGTTTCACCCAACTATGGGCAGGAATAACCTATCGAATACTGCACGCCGCATTAGACCATCAGGTAGTATCCAGAGAACAACTTAATCAGTGTAAGAGTTTTGGGTTCCTGCACGCACTCCAATGTGACATGAATCCTTTCCCAGACAAGAAATGACGACTCCCGGTATAATTTCTTCGGCTCCTTCATCAAACATTAATCATGTTCCACGACCGCAAGGCCACCTGAGCTTTGTTGGTACGTGCGGTAACCAAGACGCTGGGTCCACAAGCGCTGCCTCATTTACCGACCTAAGGAAGCCAGTCAACCAGTGGCCGTCGTGTGTACGAGAAGTTTAGCGCTCCGTTAATCTATTCCGAAGCGCTTATACGGAGGATAAGTGAAACATTGGTGGAGCTCTTTCTCCCACATGTTTTAGGTTTGTTGGTGAGTAGGCTGACAGAATTTCAACTCCGGAAGTGACTGAGAGAACGCAGGATTGAAAAGTAAAGGAACACATTACAAGCTGTCGCATTCTTATTCTCGTAGGAAACTGAGATCAGCTTTCCCTAAGTCATTATCCGACATGGGAGTCGTGGTTTTACAATGGAAAGTATTTTTCTACGCACACTCACTGGTTACAGTTAGTGCCACAAGGCAATAGTGGAGATCCTCTCGGAGAGACCATCAGTTTGACGCTGAAGTACCGGGAGTATCGGGCCCCTGTTTGTCATCCAGCCAAACGAAAGACGTATGAACCGAGTAATCGGTCACCGGCTCCCAATGGGCTCGATTCCCTGAATTCTCCCCGCTGCCTTGCGAGTCAGGTCCCTATGACCGAAGGCTCTGGGTGGGGCCCCCTAAGTCAACCCTTTTCCTCGGCCTGGACAATCAGGAAGTTGTATGCCCACACAACACATATACTGATGGATTTACGACTGCTCACATTTCTCGCTTTGACCGAGGTGCTGATGGCTGGGCATGCTAAACCTCACTCTTTCCCACCGCCAACCACCTTCCCACGTTTATTCAACCCTCCCCTGTTCTTGGCAACCCCGCTCCCATTTCGAGTCTCCCAAAGTGCATTACAAATAAAACGGTACCTTTGGCCTCATCAATGTACCGCTCAAAACCGATCGCACACATTCCAATACCAACAGCAAAGCTTTTATTGCACTCCGCTCGCGCCTCCAGCTAGCTACCTCCAATGTTTGAACGCTCATGCAGGTTGGTTCACAAGCTGCTCTTACGCGCATCTTAGAAACCCTCTCAATCGACGTTTGCTGTCTAACGGAAACCCGTTTACAAGACTCCAGCACAACGCTTCAATTGTCCTCACCATCCTCAAGTTCCAACTGCACATTCACCTTGCGCTTATCTGGAGATGCGACAGCAGCAGCGTCTAGTTGCGCCGGCCTAGGAGTTGCATTAAGCTTGCTGAGGCAGCGCCCATTGATTGGTTTCCGGTCAACAGCGCTTTTTGTGCAGTCCGATGAGAAAGCTCAGTGCGATCTTCCAGCCACGGGACCAGTAGACGCTGCTGATTCATTGTGGCGGTGTATGCTCCTACGGACTGCAGCCCGGATGAAGTTAAAGCTGAATTCTACCGCTAACTCACCGATCGCACAAAACGCCGCACGGACATCGTGGTACTTACCGGAGACCTAAATGCGTAGGTCGGTAGACTAGTAGTTCATGAACTCGAACTTGGGGGTCAACTCAGCCACTGTACTCGCAGGACGGACAACAGCGATCAACTCTTTCCACTGTGCGCCGACCACAGCTTGTTCCTTACCAGCACCAATTTCCGATGTTGGCACCAATGAGCCACCTGGCGACCTCCGGCGCCTGGTGAAGCTTGGACGCAAATTGACCACATCTCTGTTCTTACCGTTGGCGAGGCTTCAAGTCAATTTGGAACACTTATTTGACTTCGGATCATACGCTCGTATGTGCTAAGTTCGTTCTGCGCTTTGCAGGCACCCAACGGCATCACCGGAAATAGCTTGACACAGACAAGCTCGCTGCTCCAAATGTTCTCGACGCATTTCAAGACACTAGCCCCCAACCTGCGTTCTCTATCTTCCGATGTTGTTGCACACTGGGCATAGATCCAGAGCGCTTTACGAAAGTCCGCTACCCTGGTTTGTGACTTCACTAGACGAGCCGCTAGTCATTGGATCTCCACACACTCACTTCAATTAATGGAAAGTCGTCGAACAATTCCCGTCGGAGTTAAGTACAACGCACTACGCAGAACCATAGGTACTGAGCTCAGGCAGCTCGTCAGGAAGGATCGCAAGGTTTGGTGGACACAACGCGTCGTTGAGATGGAGCTGGTAGCCTCGTCGGGAAACTCGCACAAACTCTTCCAACTTATTCGCTCCACGGGAGGCAGAAGACCAACAGTGAGTGAAGTTTTGCGTGAAAATGATGGCGAACCAATTCACACTCGTCACCGTCGTCTGATACGACGAGCAGAGCAGTTTGAAGATCCGTTCAACTGGCCAGTAGCGCAACCGATTCTAGCTTCCGGGGTTCACAGTGCTCCCTGGTGCGTAAGGTGTTTCTTCACCGACAGTGGCTGAGGTTTCCAATGAGTTCCGTCTCCTGAAGCGCCACAATTCACCTGGCTCAGATAAACTTCTTCCTGCCTTCTTCAAATATGAAGGTCCTGCTACACACGCGAACTGACATCTCTATTTCATCAGCTTTGGACTACTGAAACCATTCCATCCGACTGGAATTTAGTGATGTTGTACCTGTTTATAAAAACGGAGACCGGACCATTTGATCCAACCATCGTGGCAACAGTCTCATTTGTGTAGCATCCAAACTGCTCGCTGCCCTACTCTTGCGGAGGCTCAGTTGTGTGCGGGAATAGCACCTGAGTGAACAACAAGCCAGATTTCGCAGTTGCGTCGATCACACCTTTACGATCCGTCAGATATTTGAACAGCGCCATACGTTCAATCAACCAACTATAGTCATATTCTTGGACTTTCAAGCCGCTTTTGACTCTGTTGACAGAGTGGCTCTTTGGGATTGCCTACTAAAGAGAGGAGTACCTGAGAAGTACATCAGCATTCTCCGTGCCATTTACCATCAAACTTCGGGCCGCGTGCGAGCATACGGAGACATTTCGCCCCCTTTCAGTATCACTAGCGGTGTTAGACAGGGTTGCCCAGCCTCTCCATTCTTGGTCAACTTCGCCATGGACGAAATCCTGGATACTGCCCTGGATAACTCTGAGTTCTGCGGTGTTGACCTGCTCCCTGGTGGCCGCCTTCAGGACTTAGGGTACGCCGATGACATCGATGTGATTTGTGAGTCCTCTCAAGCCGCCCAGCATGTGCTGCATAGAGGAGCGCTCCGCCTTCCAAATGTAAGACCCTGTTACAGGACTGTCCAAGTGCATGTTCTCCTCTCACCCTTTCGGGGAATCCGTTGGAAGTGGTCGACGAATTCATTTACCTTAGTATTGGCGGTTTGACGGACGAGATCTCCCTTCGTGTCTCCAAGGCTAGGGTGGCTTTCGCTAACCTCCGTCACCTGTGCTTCGTCGTGACCTCAGCTTCGTTCTCAAGAGATGAGTCTACCGTGCTACGGTACAAGTGATTCTGCTTTACGACTGTGTCGACCCGTAGTCTAGAGGTAAGGGCTTGTCTCGTAATCTTGCAGCGCGGATTCGAATCCGCGTAGGGTGGGTGTCCTCGCGATACACTCAGCCCGCGTGCGACTGGTGGTGGTCGCACGGCAGCGAAGCACCGTTACGGCGTACAGCTGACATGTTATTATTATTTATTTGTACGGCTGTGAGACTTGGCTCGTTCGCAAAAGCGTTGTTCAGCGGCTAACCGTTTTCAATCACCTCTGCGTGCGAACCATTGCTGGTGTTCACTGGCAGCATCACATCAGTAATGAGGAATTTCATCGACGAGTCTTCATATCCAACGAACTCCGCCGGCCGATTCATAGCATCATTTCACTGCAGAGGCTTCGCTGGCTTGGACATGTGATCCGCATGCCTACCCAGAGTCTACCACGACGGGCCCTATTTGCGAGCGCAGGTGTAGTGTGGAAGCGACGACAAGGAGGCCAATGTAAACTCGATCAAATGCGTTAAGGTGCAAACGTTGAAGCTAGCTGTTGTTGGACGTTCCCAACTCGTGTTGGGAACCAAAGGACCCCGAGCACATCTAGCTGCAAATGTTACAGCGTGTGGCAAAGGACTGTACTCAGTGGCGCACTTGGTGTGAAACTCTAACAGTTGTTTTCCCTTTCAATCTTTTTCTCTTGTGTGTTGTGGCATCCAACCAACTGTAATGTACTTGGTAAAGATTGAATATCAATATATATATATATATATATATATATATATATATATATATGCCTGTTCCAACGCTTAGCGAAGGGTACCTGCATACTCAGTTTCGCGTCACTGCTTCTGTTTCCACACACGCAGTATCCCAGCTCTCGCACATTCATTTGCGGTTGCATGTCAGCAACACATCGGTACGTGGAACTGGTGTAACACTGAAACCGTAACGTGATCAACTCGTCAACTCATAATAACTGGCAGATGTGTATGAAAAATGTATATACTAAAGATGTATATGAGCGCCGCCAGTCTGCGTACTTGTACCGTTTTCATTTCAAAGGGATTTGTGCAAAACCGATGATACCTTTGGGTGGCATTTCACTTTCGACACATGTATCGTTTTGTTTCAGATGCGGCATCGGCTTATGGTGATATGCTCACTGTCCTTCCCGTTTTGAGGCATGCACTTTAGAATGAAATGAACGGCTATTCACTCATCTTTAATTTGCAATACCACCACTCATATTGCATCACGATTATCTGTTCACAACCCCCCTAATAGTACCGTATCCGCGACGCAGCATTTGTACTATCATCTTCTAGTTGAACATAAATTTGCATCTTGTGCTTGTCTACTAAACGGTGCTTAGTACAGTACTCGAAATTCACGTACTTTTTCCATTTTCAGAAAAGCCATGGAAATCGATCCAGGGTGTACAGAAGCAGTACAAGGTCTAAGGCAAACGTATACTGGCGATGATGATCCGGAAGCAGCTCGTAAACGAGCAATGAACGATCCTGAAATAGCGGCTATCCTCTCTGATCCTGCTATGCGTCTCATCCTCAATCAGATGGAGGATCCCACTGCACTTCGTGAACACTTAAACAATCCCGATATTGCCTCCAAATTAATGAAGCTTATTGACGCCGGCTTAATCTCTTTCCGGTGATTTTGTAGATTTTGCAAGTGACACACGTTCTGACGTGCACTTCGAAAGAGCGTTACACTTTCCGCCCTTCAGCTATCTGTTACCAAGCACAAATGGTTATGTATCATGCTTTTCAGCCATGTCGCCCCTTCGGGTGTTTCAATAAGATTTTTCGATTATTTATTGTTTTAGTAGTCAAGGGTATATGTTTAGTTTCTGGGGATCACGGATCCAACGCCGGCATCTGTCCTTTATTCTATTCTTCTCTATGACGTCTACTGAGTCTACGACGGTCCAATTCCTTTTGATTGGGATAAGTCTCACAGTCTGCTGAGGCACTTCTTAGTGGTGCTCTCTTAGCCCACTTTTATACTTCATACGTGTGGTTGATTTGTCCAGTTTGCTCAAAACGGCTGATGCGCCTTCGCTGTCACTCATTCCGCCCAACCGATAAGATCGAGGCGTTTCATATAAATCACTGGAGATGGGCTAGTAGTCGTGTTTGTGCGTCGGTGGCCGAGTGGTTTAGGCGTGTGTTTTGTAACTTAAAACTCATTGGTTCGAACCTACTAAAGCACGGATGGCCATACAGTATCCCTAGACTACAAGCAACTTTCGATAATCACGCGGCAACAGTCGATACGACGTGCCAACGTATTGTTGACACGCCCCTCCTCTCTCACTGGTCGTATTCATCTACACTGCATCGTTGACTTCGCTTATCTAGGATGCATAGATAATTTTTAGTCCGAACATCTGTGTGCACAGTCACTTAAGTTCTTTAGTGTTTGACTTGGAACACTTCAGTGCAATCTTTCACCTTCCCACCACTCCAACTCCACTTTATTTGATTTGTTCTTGCTACCTGAATAATTTTCTCCTAACTGGCCACGTTGCTTACGCTAATTGGGCTTATCTTCGGTAACTTTGTTGCGTTTGTAGCATTTTTAAGTAACTTGTGGACATTTTTCGCTTATCGCGGATTTGTTACTAACCAACTTACTGCATATGCTAATTTAGCGAATAATTATACCGCCGTATCTGTATGCATTATTCGATTTATTTTATTTCATCTTGTCGTTTCAAGTGATTGGCTGTTGCTTGATATCCCCGATGTGGCTGCGCTTGATGTACATGTTGTCAAGGTGCCTACCTGTCTATTACCCACTACCTCATTCATACTGTCTCTAGGAGACAGTTGGTCGTTGCTGGAGGGGACGGGGTGCACGGTCGTTGTGGTCGTGCTAGGGTCGAAGATCGGTTCCATGCACTCAGTGTGATGCGGTCTACGGCCCAGCCACCGCCTTGTTTGGACTTGATTCCCAAATACAGCGTGCTTGTGTTTGCCTGTGAAGCAGTGTGGGCCGGCTCCGTTGATGAAATGTGGCTCCCATCCGCATGCCTCCCGGTCTTATTTCTTCGGGTTTACACGGGATATGGCGTGTGTGGTTGGAGCTGTGGGTGATGCAGCGCAAGCTGTCCATGGTCCCTTTGTTGACGTATGCGTCCTGTGGCTCGCCACAGTGACAGGCAAATCCGAAACCGGATGCCGCCAACCATATATATATATATATATATATATATATATATATATATATATATATATATATATATATATATATATATATATATATATAAACACGACCAATATAGATTTGGCAGGGTGCCACAACACATGAGTAACAGCAACAGAAAGGAGGAAGAGTCAGGAGTAGGGATGCGAAGATCCATGTGTTGCGTGAGCATTGAGCTTCTCGCTTGCCCAGGCCGACGAAAGGGGTTGACTTAAGGGACCCCACCCCGAGCATTCGGTCATAAACACCTGACACGTAAGGCAGCGAGGCCTATTCTTGAGTTGTACATGTCTCTTTGCAAGGGGAGGATACCACAGGATTGGAAGGCTGCAGTTGTAGTGGTGACCCATATGGGTGATAGTAAAGCTTCACCCAATAACAACAGCCCTGTTAGTCTGACTAGCGTTCTTCTCAAGTGTCTAGGATTGATCATTAGGAATCGAACTTGTGAACATCTGGCTGCTAATAACTTGATCGGTGCAGAACAGCATGGCTTCGTCAAGAAAATGTCATGCCTTGCCAACCTGCTCTGTTTCCTCTATGAAATCACTCGATGTCTTGATGAAGATATACCAGTAGAAGTGTGTTACCTTGACTTCAGTTAAGCGTTTGATTCTTCAAATCACCGTTTTTATTACAACAAATGACCTGGTTTGGAATCCCTCCTCAGCTGCTTTCTTAGCTGTTCGCATTCCTCTATGGAAGAACATTCCGTGTCACTGTTAGTGACGTTACTTCGAACACGGGCACTGCTCATAGTGGGGTTCCCCAGGGTTCAGTACTCGGTCCGTTGCTATTTCTCATCTTTATAAATGGCTTGGTTCCCCTGCTTGAAGACCCCTTCTATATGTTTGCTGACGACTTGAAGCTTGTCCGCAGAGGAGAGAGGGCTTCGTTATCTAGAGATTTTGCTACCCTTCTTAATTGGTCAAATTTGTGCGACTTGATACTGAATACCAGCAAATGTCAAATCCTAAACCCACGAGATGAGGAGTTTACTGTGCATACATCTAATGCTTCCCTAACACTGCAGCTTGTCACAATCTAGGTATTATCGTGACTTTAACGCTTCGGCGCAGTGCAGTCATGCGGCTAATAAAGTGCGACAGGAGTTATTTCGTACCAGAAGATTTCTAAATTGTGCCAAGCCACAGGTTTTCCTTCTCTTGTTCAAAGCTGTGGTCAGACCCATCAGGAATACTGTGTACAAGCTTTGACACCCTACCTGCAGAAAGATATTTGTATTGAGAATGTGCAAAGACTGGCTACTCGAATAATGATAGGTCAGCGTGGGTTATCGTATGAAGATCGGTTAGCTGGCTTAGGTTTGTTTTCAACGAGAAGGCGCAGATTGAGAGGTTTCTTAATAAAAACGTTCAAAACCATGTAGGGTCTCAGTGGTCTCAGGCGCACCGACATATTTGAGCCAGCTACATCAGACGACCTGCGCTACAATTGCATCAATCTGAAGCTACACTGATCTAGGCTAAAGTTAATAGCCAGGATCTTCGCAAACCGCATTGTCCCTGTTTGGAATCAACTTCCTTCTACCCTATTGGGATTCCAAAGTGTGGGATTTTAAACGTAGTCTAGACGCACATTTGCTTGCCCTGTTTCCATAGCCTTCTTGCGCTTTGATGATTGCACCTTATTTCATTACTTTTTGAAAGTGTGTTCGTCGTCTTGCACTTGCTTCCGCTTTTGTTGTAACACTGCCCTCGCCTATGCTCTCTGATTAACTGCTTTGCCCAGCCGGGAACGAAAACAGAACACCGAAATGTATTAGGCACAGAACACAGTTCATTTTATAGGTCACAATCTATCATCTATTGTTGTAAGTCTCTGAGCGGACTCAAGTCACTTGCCTGGATAGATTCTATACCTGCTAGCGTGCGGCGCTGTCACGTATCAACCTATTTCATGCTGTCGGTCAGATTTCATCAGCTTCTCGCGTGACTTAGCCGTGTTGCTGCCGCTCGGGTAGCAACGCGTGTGATGATGACGAACTGAATTCATCAGGTTCCGGCGTGACTCAGCCCTGCTAACACCGGTCGGGTGGCAACGCGTGTCTTGATGATAGACGTCTCGAAACCGTGTCTCCTTCTTAGGCTGTGGCCTCCGATTACCTCCCTTTTCGAATTGAGTCTGCTTGCGTACTGTTCGAGCTCGCTTTTGTTCATAGCTTTTCGCCTTGGGGTCAACTTCTAGCCATTGTGGCCATCTCCGCTTTCGGGTCGGCCTACATTGTGTATTCCTTGATGCTTGCAGGTTCTGTTGTGATTCACGTAGCCACTCAGCTTCCTCTTCTAAACTAAACGTGTCTAGCAGAATGTCCCACTGTAAGGATGGCGGTTCTGGGGAACTGAGTTTTGCTGTGATTCGGTCTCAGCTGATTGGCGTGCCTGACTCATTTCTCACTCCCTACCATTAGCTCGTAAATGCTTCGGCTCTTTCTGCTGATCACTCCTCCTGTTGACCACTTTCTCGGTCCCCGAAAGTCTCGCGCGGACACTGTCACCAATGTTGTAATGACGGAGCCTGTCTGTCAGATTTTCTTCTACTGAACAACCGCAATTCTTTTCAGCTTGGCACAAGGTTAACGAACAATGTCTGGGTCTTTCGTCCAAATAAAGCTTCGGCAGGGGCTTTTCCATCTGGGGCGTTTAGGTTTGGCGCATTCCGATGTATGCACAGGAAAGACTAGATCGCGTCCTTTGCGACCTTGTTTTATCCCGCTTTACAAAGAGCACCTTTGAAGGTATCCACGAACCGTTCTGCCTGTCAGTTTGATTGCTGATGATAGTGGTGAGAATATCTGCTGAATTCCTTTCTCTTTGCATCACTCGCGAAAGGAAGTTGAAGTGAATTGTGCATCGTTGTCTGTCACTATCATCTCTGGCAGGCCGAAATACTGGAACAGCTTGTCCAGCTCGTTGTCCTGTACTGGGCAGTCGAACTTTACATTGGGCTCACATCGGGCCACTTGTAAAAGGATACCAAAACAAGATAGGATTGACCGGCGATTGGTCGTGCATAATCTAAGTGGATTCGCTGCCACTGCTTCTCTTCCTTGGGCGAAAGTTGTCAGGGGCACTTGGGAAGGGCCTTCGCCGCCAGCTGACAGGATTCACATTTTTGGCAGAATTGTTCCATTTCTGGATTCATTCCGGGCCAGTTAACAAACTGCGTGCCAAGGCTTTCATACGGTTGGTACCTGGATGCCCGGTATGAAACTCGGAATCGTTTCTGCGATGGGGCATTGCGACCCTCGCTGTATCCTTAACTCACGCATGGCTGGTGGTGTTTGCGCGGCTGCAAAGCGTCGGTGCTGCATACCGTCGTACTGCGGATGCCTTTGCCGTATTACTACTTATTTCTTACCATTGTTTTACGATAATCTAAGCTGAAGTCCACTCCGGCTAACAATTGAAGCACGCTCCGTTGGTTGCTATTAGCTCTCATGACCCGCTTACACCAGGAGGCTCACTCTGATACCGTATATGGCTTCACGGCACCTTCGCAGTTAGCATTTCGTTTGTGGTGTGTCCTTAAATCACGCATTTTCCAGTTGTTGGAGTCGGATCATTACTCCGGCTAAGCTTGGG